CAGCGGCACGCGTAGGCCGCGGACCGGTCGACCTTCGTCGGGTCCTTGCCGCTGAACGCGCCGCCGCCGTGGGCGCCCCAGCCGCCGTAGGTGTCGATGATGATCTTGCGGCCCGTGAGGCCCGCGTCGCCCTGGGGGCCGCCGATGATGAACTTGCCGCTCGGGTTGATGTGGAGGTTGCACGTCTTCCGGTCGTAGATCGACGTCGCGGGCTTGCCGTTCTTGAGCGTGATGGACTTGAGCGTCGCGAGGACGACGTGCTCGTGGATGGCCTCGTTCATGTCGGCCATGGACGGCGCGACCTGCTCCGGGCCCTTGTAGGCGCCGCGGAAGTCCTTGCCGTTCTGCTCCTCGGTGCGCTTCGCCTTGAGGGGCTCCGCGTGCTGCGTGGAGATGACGACGGTGTGGATCATCTTGGGCGTCACGGAGCCGTCGGAGTGCTGGAGGTACTCGATGGTCACCTGGGTCTTGCCGTCGGGGCGGAGCCACCAGAGCGACCCGTCCTTGCGGACCTCCGTGAGCACCTTGCCGAGGCGCGTCGCCATGAGGTGCGTGAGGGGCATGCAGTTCTCCGTCTCGTCGGACGCGTAGCCGAACATGATGCCCTGGTCGCCGGCGCCGACGTCGAGGTCGCTCTTGCCCACGTGGACGCCGCCGGCGATGTCGGGCGACTGCTTATTGATGCGGACGAGCACCTCGCACGAGTCGCACGACAGGCCCTTGGAGTCGACGGAGCCGAGGTCGTCGACGAAGGAGTCGAAGCCGATCTTCTTGACCTCGTTGCGCACGATGGCGTCGTAGTCGAGATTCGCCTTCGTCGTGATCTCGCCGAAGACCATGACCATGTTGTCCTTCGTCGCCGTCTCGCACGCGACCTTGGAGTAGGGGTCCGCCGTGAGGCACGCGTCGAGCACGGCGTCCGAGACCTGGTCCGCGACCTTGTCGGGGTGGCCCTCGTTGACCGACTCGGACGAGAAGAGGAAGACGCGCTCCTGCGGGCGCGGCGGAGATTCGGCGCGCGGCGCTCGGGGGGCACGAGGGCGGGATGCGGCGGCGCTCGGCGGCGGCGCGGCGCGGGCGGCGCCCGGGGGGCGCGCGGGAGCGTCGGGGGTGCAACCGGGTGGGGGCGTCGGGCGCGCGGGCGAGGCGGCTGGCCAGCCGAAGCGCTTTCGGCGAAAGTCCCCCCCGACGCCCGCGGCGTAGCCGCGCGCGGCCCTCGCGCGCAGAAGTAGGTCCACGGACGCCGGTACCGACCTCGGCGGCGACGCGCTGTTTCTTGGCGACGGCGGCGGACATGGTTTAGTTTGAGCGGGTTGGCTGTGTCGGCGAGGAGATGTGGCGCGGCGAATGTTGGACTGCTACGATCGTCAGATCGGGAAACATTCGATTGTTGCAGCCGAAAAAGCAAACAAACCAAAGGCTTGGCAGCCAAACCCAGTTCAGAGAGCATGGCGGAAGAATGTCAGCTCCGCGGGGCTGCCCTCGGCCCATATCGCATCATCTGGAGCGCCGATTGCTGCGTCGGGTCCACCCATGGTGGTGGCTCGGGGACGGGCCGCTCTACGCGGTTGCATGCCCTCGTTCGCGAGAACGCGGCGGCCCAGAAGTCGTCGTGTCGAGGCTGAGAGATCTGCGATGCTCTGCGGAATTGCACGATCGACGACGCCCGACGAAGTGCGGCGCTTCACCCCCGGCCCAGAGGTCCCCCCAGGCGGGGCAACGCGCTCGGAGACCCCGGACGGCCGTGTCGATGACTTTTGGGCTTGGACGCGTCGACGGTCAACACGACGTCGCGGAGACGCGCGGCCAAGATCGAGGATTCAGAGACTCTGTCGCGCGCGAGCCGTCCGTGGCACGAGTCGCACGTGCCTGTGGGCTGGCCGCGCGTGGAATCCCTCCGTGGCTGATCATGATCGCGGTGGTGCCCCTGGAGCAGTGCTTGGGCAGCACTCCGCGGGACAACGCGCCGCGGCGCTCGGGCTGGAGGCGAAGCCGAGGGAGCTGCGGGCGCCGTGCGCGATGCCGGTCGACAGCGTGCGTCAGCAGAGCGCGGCGGCGCCGAGACGACCGAGGAGGAGCGCGTCGGCGCGCTCGGGCAGGTCCGCGGACTGGGCCGCGCGGCAGCCGCGGACTCCGGCGGGGGCAGCCCCTCGGCGGCGCCGCGGGTTAAGAGTAGAATCTTAAGCGCGACGCGCGACGGCGTCCTCTCCGGGCCGGAAGAGCGGACCGCGTGTCTTGTCCGTGTTCGACGCGCGCGTGCACGAGCCGACCTCGTACGGGATCGCGGACGGGTCAGCGCGGCGCTTCTTCGGTCCAGGGGCCTTGGGGACCCCGACGTCGGGGTTGAGCGGGCACGTGGCCGCGTTGTGCCTCGCGAAAGGCCCTTGCGCCGGCGTCTGGATCTCGAGCTTCTCACAGCACTTGCACATCCCGACGGCCTTCTTTTTCGTCGCGGCCGTCGCGGGCGCGTTCGTCGTCGTCTCCGCCGCCGCCCCGGCGTTCGTCGTGTCGCCCAAAGCGGTGCCCGTCGTCAGGTCCATGAGCTGCGGGCAGACCTCGAACCTGCCGCCCGGGAGCTCGAGTCCAGAAAACGCTTCGCCGCAGACGACGCAGTTCGAGCCCGTCGCGTGGAGCTTCCTCCAGCACGCGTAGCAGACGCAGGCGTGGTCGTGCGTGTTCGAGCTGCTCGTCCCCGGCCGGCACGGGACCGCGGCGGCGCCGCACGACGGGCAGGTCGCGGCTTCCGCGAGCGCGGCGTTCTCGCCCAAATTTTTGAGATGCGCGACCAGCGAGTGCACCGCGGCCGAGAGCTCGCCGCGTTTGAGGGAGCGCACGGCGGTAACCGACGACGCCGCGTACGAGTTCAGCCCATGCGCCGCCGCGGCCGCGACCTGCGACGGCTCCAGCAAGCTCACCAAATCCTCGACCGACGACGTCGACTCCTCGCGCGTCGCGCGCGGCCGCTTCTTCGGCGCCACGTCCGAACGCGCCTCGGCCCGTGCTGCATCGAGCTGCGGGCTCCCGTCGGGGTAGTGCTCGAGCAGGTAGGTGCTCACGTCGTTCTCCGACGCCGTGTTCCCAAAGCGTGCGTCGCGATGCCCCGGTAGCGTGTGGCCCTCCGCGATCACCCACTTCAGGATCTTGACCATGACCTCGGAGTGGGCGTTGTCGACCTTGTAGGAGCAGAACTTCTTCGCGAGGGCCTCGTAGAGGATCGACGGCAGCTCGCCGCCGGCGACGATGCCGCCCGGCTCGCCCTCGAGCGCGACCATGTCCACGGCGTCCCGCAGCGGCTTGGACCGGAGCAGGCCGAGGATCTCCACGTGGTTGACGAGCGCCAGCTCCTTGGTGGAGAGCGGCGAGGGCGCGTCGTCGGCCGTCGGCCGCGCGTCGGCTCCGGCGCCGCGTGCGACCGTCGACGCGGCCGCGGGGGGCCACAGCTGCCGGCCCAGGGCGCGGGCGTACGGGGCCCGGCGGTCCTTGTCGAAGAAGAAGCTGTGGGACCACGGGAGGCAGAGCACGTAGTCGTAGCGGTTGATGATGTACTCGATGAGCTCCTTCGTGTAGTTCTTCGCCAAGTTGTCCACGGCGTGCTCGAAGCCCAAGGGCTTGGCGTAGGCGTAGGCGTCGTCAAAGAGCCCCGACGCCTTCGGGTCGATCGCGACGGCGACGTACTTGGCCACGAGGTTCATGACGTGCGTCCCCAGCTCGTTGAAGCGGAAGCCCCCGTACGTGTGGCCCCACTTGAGCGACGCGTGGACGACGGCGTAGTTGAGCGCCGCGAGCACGGATGTGTGCAGCAAGAACTCGGGCTTGGAGAGCAAGTAGTAGCACCGCGACGCCCCCTCGTCGCGCAGGGCGCGGAGCTTCAGTAAGAGATCCCGAGTCGACGTCGACGCGTCCTCGCCCAGGCCCAGGCTCAGGACGATAGCGACCATCAGCAGCCCCTTGTTCGCCCAGATGTACGCGGCAGCGAGCATGTAGGACTCGAAGCG